AGCCACCTGTTTCTGTCTAAAGCATAATTATTTCCAATTTGATGGCACCTTCTACCCGAAAACAAACAGCATTGCTATGGGGGCTAATTATGCCCCCAGCTATGCTAACTTAACAGCGGGCTATTTGGAGTCCCATTTTATCTGATAAAACAATCCATATGCAACCAACATCATATTTTATGCTCGCTTTATCAATGACATTATCAATGACTTTGTTCGCCTAATACTGTAATCAGAATGATTTGGGACTTTCTTTTACCTACATTCACAGTCATGTGCTGGCATTTTTAGACTTAGAATTACACCATGATGGTACCCAAATATATGTCAGTAACTCTGTGAAACCCACAGCAGGCAGTTCATTCCTCCACTATCGCAGCATTCATCACCTGAGATGGATTATTTATTACATGGGCCCGACCTTACAGAAACATTTCCAGACAAAGGGTACCCAGTTCCCCTGGTCCAGGAAGCTTTTAACCAATATTTACATAAACACCCCCAAACAAGTCAAAATCCAGAATCAAAGACAACCCATCAGGTTTACCACCCAATATCATGCACAGTATAACCAAATGGAAAAGGTGTTTTATATACATTCTCGAAGACCCCTTTCTACACCCTCACACCTCATCCAAAAGTATCCTAATGCAAGGCCCGCAACATAGTTACATAGTTAGTCTGGCTGAAAAAAGACAAAAGTCCATCCATTTCAACCATTAAAAAAAAAAAAAGTTATAATCCTATACCCACAGTTGATCCAGAGGAAGGCAAAAAAAAAAACAGCAAAGCATGATCTAATTTGCTCCTGCAGGGGAATAAATTCCTTCCTGATCCCCTGAGAGGCAATTGGATATTCCCTAGATCAACTTTACCTATAAATGTTAGTATCCAGTTATATTCTGTGTATCTAAGAAAGAATCCAGGCCTTTTTTAAAGTAATTCACTGAGCTGGCCAGAACCATCTCTTGAGGGAGTCTATTCCACATTTGCACAACTCTCACTGTGAAGAAACCTTTCCGTGTTTGGAGATTAAATTTCTTTTCCTCTAGATGTAAAGAGTGCCCCCTTGTCCTCTGTGATGACCGCAGGGTGAATAACTCTATACCGAGTTCAGTATATGAACCACTGATGTATTTATACATGTTGATCATATCCCCCCTTAATCTCCTCTTCTCAAGAGAGAATAAATTTAGTTAATCTAATCTTTCCTCATAGCTGATCTCCTCCATGCCTCTTATCAATTTGGTTGCCCTTCTCTGTACTTTCTCCAGTTCCCCAATGTTCTTTTTGTGAATTGGTGCCCAAAACTGAACTGCATATTCCAAATGATATCTCTCTCTCTGGAGTCTATACCTCTTTTAATACAAGAGAGGATTTTACTCACTTTAGAAACCACAGCTTGGCATTGTATGCCATTATTAAGCTTGTGCTCTACCAGAACTCCCAGATCCTTCTCCACCATTGATTCCCCCAGTTGTGCCCCCCCAGTATGTATGATGCATGCATATTCTTAGCCCCCAAGTACATAACCTTACATTTATCAACATTAAACCTCATTTTCCACATAGTTGCCCAATTAAACAGTGCATTGAGGTCGGCTTGTAAGTTGAAGACATCCTGTAAGGACATTATTCCACTGCACAGCTTGGTGTCATCTGCAAAGACTGAAATGGGATTTTTCATTCCAGACCCTATATTGTTTATAAATATATTAAAAAGTAAGGGTCCCAATACTGAACCTTGGGGTACACCACTGACAACCCTAGACCATTCAGAGTATGAATCATTAACCACTACTCTTTGAATACAATCTTTTAGCCAGCTTTCTATCATTTACATACAGATTTTTCCAACCCTGTAGACTTACCTTACACATTAGCCCTGTCTAGGGAACTGTGTCAAATGCTTTTGTAAAATCCAAGTATACCACATCCACCGCCACCCCTCTGTCCAAGGTTTTGCTCACCTCCTCATAAAAAGAAATCAGATTCATTTGATAACTTCTGCCTTTCATGAATCCATGCTGTCTGTAGCTTAAAATATTTTTTTCCAGCAAGAACTCATCTATGTGGTCTTTTAATAAACTCTCCAGTATCTTCCCAACTATATAAGTTAAACTAACAGGTCTATAATTACTTGGTAAAGATTTTGAAAATATTGGCACCACATTGGTCTTACGCCAATCCAGTGGTACTATGCCAGTCATTAAAGAGTCCCTACAAATGAGAAAAAATTACTTTGAAAAAACAGAGCTCAATTCTATAAGGACCCGTGGGTGTATGCCATCTGGTCCAGCTTTATTCACCTTTATTCTGTCTAAATATTTTTGGATCATATCAATTGTGAGCCAATGTGGATCATCTGGAGCTGTGTCAATACCATGCCCATCATGGACAAGAGCTGCCCCATGCTCCTTTGTATACACAGAGCTGAAGAAGGTATTTAATAAATTTGCCTTCTCTTTGTCCCCAGTCACCCACTCTACTTTATTGTAAAGGGCCTACATGCTCCGACCGGACCTTTTTACTATTAATATATTTGAAGAATTTTTGGGGGTTGGTCCAGCTATCTTTTGCAATCTGTCGTCCGTTTCCAATTTTTGCGGCCTTTATTTCCTTTTTGCATATTCTGTTATATTCTTTGTAATGTTTAAATGATGATAGCATGCCTTAATTTTTATAGTTAATAAAAGCTCTTTTCTTATTATCTATAGCTTTTTTAACTTTGGCCATAAGCCACATAGGTTTGATTTTTAGTCTTTTAACCATTTCAATACCATGCAATTTTACACCTTCCTGCCCAGGCCATTTTTCAGGTTTCAGCGCTCTCACACTTTGAATGACAATTGCGCAGTCATACAACATTGTACCCAAACTAAAATTTTATCATTTTCTTCACACAACTAGAGCTTTCTTTTGGTGGTATTTAATCACCGTTGGGGTTTTTATTTTTTGCTAAATTAACAAAAAAAGACCAAAAATTTTGAAAATAAAACACATTTTTCTTTGTTTCTGTTATAAAAGTTTACAAATAAATAATTGTTCTTCATAAATTTAGGCCGAGATGTATTCTGCTACATGTCTTTGGTGAAAATAACCCAAATTAGGATGTATTATTTAGTTTGTAGGAAAGTTATACAGTTCACAAACTATGGGATATATCTGAAAATTGATCAATCCTGAAGTACTGACAGCCAATCTAATTTCTTGAGGTCCAAGAATGTCAGAATAGTACAGATATCCCCAAATGACCCCTTTTTGCAGAGTAGACAGTCCGACGTACTTCATAAGAGGCATGGCGAGTTTTTTGAAGTTGTATTTTTTTGTCATAATTTTTCGGAAAATGAAAAAATTAAAAAAATTATTTTCATTATTTTTTTTTTTTCCATACTGTCACCAGTGCAGTACAGCGTCATCATATAACTGGCATGGTGGTGAACAGGGACACTGACTGGTGACAGTATGAAAAAAATATATATATATATATATTTTTTTTTATTATTTTTAATTTTTTATTACATTTTTTTTAAGATTTTTTTTTTTCATATTTTACTATGACCAAAGTAGTACAATGTTACCATAGTAACATTGTACTACTTTGGGGAAGTGATCAGTATTTTTTTTTTTTTACACAATTTGCTTATAGCAAAGAATTACTTTGCTATAAGCAAGCATTTACAAGAATGAAATCGATTCATTCAGCTTTTTTTTTTTTTTTTTTTTTTTTTTTTTTTTGTGCTTAGCTGTGATTTGGTCACAGCTAATCACATGACATGTGCATGTGATTAGCTGTGACCATTCACAGCTAGGCACTAGTATACAATGGATGGCATGAATGAAGCCATCCATTGTATACAACTGTCATGTGACCTGCTGTGATTGGTCACAGCAGGTCACATGGTACCAGCAACGGGAGCCGGTACTCGGATCTGTCATCGGCCGTGTCCGAGGTGCACGGCCCGTGACAGATCGCACTGCTGTGCCGCTCTGCATTAGCGCAAACTGCGCATGTGCGGGAGCACGCCAAATGGCGTGCACCCGGAATGCAGGAACACTTTTGAAGCCGCCAAACGGCCATTGGCCGGGCGGCTAATGGTTAAACTTGTTGCCCATGGGAATATATTTTGCAGTGTGTTCACATACAGTCTTCTTGAAGAACTTCCATTTCTGTGTTGTGTTCATCAATGCCAATATTCCCCCCAGTCTAAGTCTTGGAAAGCAGCTCTCAGCTTTGGATAATTATCTCTCTTAAATTTGAGCGTTTTTATTTTTCCCATATGTGCTCGCTGTTTACAGCTAACAATAAATGGTCACTGCTACATTAAGAGCAAGATTGCCCTAAGCAAATTAAAAACCTACCTGAATATTCGGGAACAGTCTGCCACATTCCTTGCCCTTAAGGGCATGTACCAGTGCAAAAAGAAATTGTGTCTCACATGTCCAGGGCCAAAATGCACTTCACAGTCAAGGGGAAGACATGTACCATCAATGAATTCTAAAATTGTTCACCCGAACATGTGGTATATTGCCTAACTTGCCCTTGTGGTCTGTTCTTTGTAGGCAGGACTATAGGAACGTTATAAAAGCGTTTTGGGGAAACAGGTGCCTCATTGAGGACAAGAATGACCTACACAGTGTCCTCAAGCACTTTCTGGAGCATCACCAGAAATCCACTTCTGGTTTGTTCATTTGGGTTATTGACTCCATCCCCAGAGCTCTCCTCGCAGCAGAACATTTTAAACATTTTTGCCAATGGGAGACATTCTAGATTTATACCCTAGAGACCCTCAACCTGGGGGGCCTCAATGAAGAGATATTGAAGAGATAGAGGTGCATACTCTGTTGCAACTGCACATTATACATAAACATCTTTATTTATATCTGGTTATTGTTTCCGTACATATAGATCCCTGATTGGATTAGAAGGATACACTTTACGTCTTCATAAGTTCCTCATTTCAATGTCTAATTACTGTTTTCTCATGCAAGAAATTTCTCCCCCCCCCCCACCCTCCCCCCCCCCCCCCCACCCCCCCCCCCCCCCCCCCCCCCCCCCCCCACACACACACACACACTTTTTCTCTATACATTCTTTATCAAGGAACACATACACATAATTTATAGGGTAAGATAAAATAATAATAACTAACAACTTTGTCTTCTTCTAATTGTGATACAATTTCCTTATATCCACAGGGGACCATTATGGTCTTCTACAGTTTGGAAACAGGACCATTATGGTCCATGGGGACTTTCTGTGCTTTACATCCCCTGTAAGTACATAAATATATAACATGATATGAGATATATGATCTTATCTGTGCCTTTTTAGTTTTTTGTTAAAATTTTAATAATCTTCTTAAAATGCTTTTCCCTTCTTTCATGCCAAGGAATTTCTTTTTATGCATACATATACAGTATGTAATGTATTTATATATTGTGTATTTATTGGGTATTTTTAATCATATATCTCTATACACCCTTTTTTTATTCATTGTGTTATTATTGTTATTATATTTGTCTACAAATATCAACCAAACCATACTCTCAGCTGCTCACATGACCTCCTACTCTCTAGCTCCCTTGTCTCCTCCTCCCATTTGCATCTCCAGGACTTATCCAGAGCCTTCCCCATCCTCTGGAACTCTCTACACCAATTTGACTGACTATCGCCTACTCTGCTCACTTTTGGCCGATCTCTGAAAATCTATCTCTTCAGGGAAGTCTATCCTGCCTTCAGCTAATAATGGAATCTACTCTTCTTCCTACCAGTCCATCCCCCACAGTTATTATCTTTTGTACCACTAGCCCCTCCCTCTTAGATTGTAAGCTCCAAGGAGCAGGGCCCTCCTAACCCCCTTGCATTGAACTGTATTGTTGCTGTATTGTCTCCTTTTATATTGTAAAGCGCTGAGCAAACTGTTGGCGCTATATAAATCCTGTATAATAATATTGTTTCACTGAATGATTAATGATGGCAGGCTGGCTGTTCTGGTCCTCCAGCTCTCAGATCTATATAAGTAAGTTTCATGGCAATACATCCCCAGGCCTTTAGAAGGAGCAGTTAGCTCCGAGCATGTAGCCTATCTAGCTTGTATCAGTCTTCTCCCTTCTGTGACCTCACATCCGTCCACGTGTGCGCTCCAAGCCTGTCCCAGAAACTTTGTTTTTACTGCAAGCATCCTGGAGTTCTCTTCTCCATCTATTGCTGACAGACACACCAATTGGTGGATGCTGCAGGACGTGGACAAACAGCGGTACACTCCAGTTCTCCTCCTCATTATACCTTGATGAGCGATTTATTTCTCCATATCCTGGGAGTGTTTTTAACTGTGGCTGAATAAATGTTAACCTACTTACTGCACTTAGAAGGCGCTTCCCTTTCTTTTATGTTGTACAGAGTTGGCTTGTTCTGGGGTGGATGCTGTTTGTGCTATTTCTAATTACCTGGACATTTAGAGACTCATTGATATCAATTATATTCAGGAGGGATTATATACATTTTCTGTGCGCTGACAATTGTCTTATAGTGTATATTCATCACAGCTGTACAAATCTAAAAAAGGCTATTTTGACTTTAGAGAAATGACTGTATATATTGAAATCTTCCAATGAAAAAATCTTTACATTGTAGTGCAGATTCTTAGAAACTCAAACAGGTTATTCTTATGTATGAAGTCAAACCTGATCCAAGTATTGTTCATATGTGATATAAATCTGTTTTTATCAGGTTATAATAATTTCTCTGAAGGGAAAGCTTCCAGTCATGTCATTAATTGTCAATAAAGTAGTTAAAGTGGTTGTAAAGGCTGAAGGTTTTTTACCTTCATGCCTTATATGCATGAAGTTAAAAAAACCTTCTGTGTGAAGCAGTGCCCCCAGCCCCCTCAATACTTACCTGAGCCCCATTGCGATTTAGCGATGTGAATGACAGCCTCGGCTGTTCTGGGCCTCTGCCTCCTTATTGGCTGAGACAGCAAGCGGAAGCCATTGGCTCCTGCTGCTGTCAATCACGGACAGTCAGCCAATGAAGGGAGAGGGGGCGGGGCCAAACCACGGTTCTGCGTGTGAATGAACACACGGAGCAGCAGGTGCCCCCATAGCAAGCTGCTTGCTATGGGGGCACCCAACAGGAGGGAAGGGCCAGGAGAGCCTGCGGGGAACCTGAGAATAGGAGGATCCAGGCTGCTCTGTGTAAAACCACTACACACAGCAGATAAGTATAGACATGTTTGTTATTTTCCAAAGAAAAAAGCCTTTAGCCTGGGTTCACACTGATGCAGTGCAGAATTCGCAGCAGTTTCTGTGCGAATTCCGCACCGCATCACAGTCACACCCCATTCATGCAAACCGCTGCGGGTGTGTATGTCACGTTAACAACACCCCAAAATTGGAGAACCACCTGCACTACCCTGAATACACTATTATTCTAGGAATGGGTTGCCGCTGACACCTAGCTATACACCTGGATAAAATGGCATCAAAATTATAACAAAATTGGTGCTGCGCTCCCACACTTTTACTTATATAAATAATTAAATAAAATATGAGGTTTCAATTACAGCCCTAGTGAATCCTCCTGTGTGTAATTATCTCAAACTCAATTCTTCATATTATTATTATACAATCTTATGCAGTGATGTTTGATAAACCATATGAAATAAAATAAAAACGTGCAAAACGCATAAAAACACAATACATAAACCCACTTGTGGCCCTAAATAGGGAAACCCACCCTTTCATCTGCAAACTCCACCCCTTCCTCTTTAGGTCCCACCTCTTCCTATTAGAGCACCACCCACTGACAACAATGGGGCGCTATTCCTCCCACTGACACCAATGACGGGGCACTGTTCCTCCCACTGACACCAATGACGGGGAACTATTCCTCCCACTGATACCAATGATGGGGCGCTATTACTGACACTAATGATGGAGTACTATTCCTACCACTGATACCAATGACGGGGCACTGTTCCTCCCACTGACACCAATGATGGGGCACTATTCCTCCCACTGACACCAATGACGGGGCATTGTTCCTCCCACTGACACCAATGATGGGGCACTATGCCTCCCACTGATACCAATGATCGGGCACTATTCCTTCCACTGACAACAATGGGGCACTATTCCTCCCACTGACACCAATGACGGGGCACTGTTCCTCCCACTGACACCAATGATGGGGCACTATTCCTCCCACTGACACCAATGATGGGGCACTATTCCTCCCACTGACACCAATGACGGGGCACTGTTCCTCCCACTGACACCAATGATGGGGCACTATGCCTCCCACTGATACCAATGATGGGGCACTATTCCTTCCACTGACAAAAATGATGGGACACTATTCCTCCCACTGACACCAATGATGGGACACTATTCCTCCCACTGATACCAATGATGGGGCACTATTCCCCCCACTGACACCAATGATGGGGCACTGTTCCTCCCACTGACACCAATGATGGGGCACTGTTCCTCCCACTGACACCAATGATGGGGCACTATGCCTCCCACTGATACCAATGATGGGGCGCTATTCCTCCCACTGACACTAATGATGGGACACTATTCCTCCCACTGACACCAATGATGGTGCCCCATCATTAGTGTCAGTGTGTGAGGAATAGTGCCCCATCATTGGTGTCATTGGAAGGAAGTGCCCCATCATTAGTGTCAGTGGGAGGAATAGTGTCCTATCATTGGTGTCAGTAGGAGGAATAGCGCCCCATTGTTGTCAGTGGGAGGAATAGTGCCCCATAATTGGTGTCAGTGGGAGGAATTGTGCCCCATCATTGGTGTCAGTGGGAGGAATAGTGCCCCATCATTGGTGTCAGTGGGAGGAATAGTGCCCCATCATTGGTGTCAGTGGGAGGAATTGTGCCCCATCATTGGTGTCAATGTGAGGAATAGTGCCCCATCGTTGGTGTCAGTGGGGGGAGGAATAGTACTCCACCATTAGTGTCAGTGGGAGGAATAGTGCCCCATCATTGGTATCAGTGGGAGGAATAGTGCCCCATCATTAGTGTCAGTGGGAAGAATCGAGCCCCATCATTGGTGTCAGTGTGAGGGATCGTGCCCCATCATTGGTGTCAGTGGGAGGAATCGTGCCCCATCATTGGTGTCAGTGGGAGGAAATCGTGCCCCATCATTGATGTCAGTGGGAGGAATCGTGCCCCATCATTGGTGTCAGTGGGAGGAATCGTGCCCCATCATTGGTGTCAGTGGGAGGAATCGTGCCCCATCATTGGTGTCAGTGGGAGGAATCGTGCCCCATCATTGGTGTCAGTGGGAGGAATCGCCCCATCATTGGTGTCAGTGGGAGGAATAGTGTCCCATCTTTGGTGTCAGTGGGGGCAGGAATAGTGCCCCATCGTTGGTGTCAGTGGGGGCAGGAATAGTGCCCCATCGTTGGTGTCAGTGGGGGGAGGAATAGTGCCCCATCATTGGTGTCAGTGGGAGGAATAGTGCCCCATCATTGGTATCAGTGACACCAATGATGGGGCACTATTCCTCCCACTGACACCAATGACACTTACCTTGCTGACCCCTGCTCCAGCCTAGGCTCCTTCCCTCTCCCATCCACAGCCAGCATACCTGGTTGCAGCAGCACCATCAGCACGGCACACTTACCGGTCAGCTGTCTTCTTCACTTGCTCCCGCTGCTCCCGCTGCTCCCGCACTCGATCTTCGCGCTGCCGCTCAGCTCCTCTTCCTCGCAGGTGATTGGCCGCCTGTGTGCCTTTCCTGAGCTACAGTTCTGGCACCCAATCACCAGTGAGGAGGTGGAGCTTGCAGAGGGAGGTACAAGCTGCCATAGGCTGTCCAGTGATCCCAAGGGTGTGGCCAGATGATGGGGCGGCCTGTCATCCCGCCCACACATCACGTCCAGGGAAATGAAGACATCGGACCTGGGGACCTCTCTACCCCCTCCTCCAGCAGCGCCTCTCGGACTGGAACGTTGTGGGACTGGGACACAAAGCCAGGTAAGACGCAGCAGCCCGCTGCCCGCCCCTGTACTAAGTGTCTCTTCCGTTGGAAGGGAG